AACTGGAGAGTGTGATGCTAAGTGAAATAAGCCATACAGAGAAAGACGGATACCATATGGTTTCACTCTTACGTGGATCCTGAGAAACTTAACAGGAACCCATGGGGGAGGGGAAGGAAAAAAAAAAAAAAGAGGTTAGAGTGGGAGAGAGCCAAAGCATAAGAGACTGTTGAGAACTGAGAACAAACTAAGGGTTGATGGGGGTGGGAGGGAGGAGAGGGTGGGTGATGGGTATCGAGGAGGGCACCTTTTGGGATGAGCACTGGGTGTTGTATGGAAACCAATTTGACAATAAATTTCATATAAAAAAAAAAAGAATTCCAGGAGTGGTTCCCACAGGGCATAACAGAATGAGACGCTAGGCTGTATGTTTAAGGCTCTCACTGACATTTACAATCCTAGAGATATTAGCAAACTATCATTCTCTTTACATGTAGTATATCTCTATGTGTAGCCACACACTCTCATTGTGTATATTTGTGAAGTTTGTTCTTTAGAACCAAGTTCACAACTTCATAATTATATTTACTACATTTTATTTTTTGATGTCATAAACTCCTACCCCTAATATAAGTAATTCTCAATAGTACAGTCCCCACTAGGATCATGAGGAGAATTATTCAAGGGCCAATGCATAGTTTATAAGTCATGCATTGACTCTGATAATTTACCTGTGATTCACTTTGAATGACTTCCCACAGTTATATTTATAATGTCATTGTTCTCCAGCTTCCCACAGAAGTTGGCTGAGGAAAAAACCATATGATTTACCCACAATCTTACTAAAATTTTGAATAACCCTTCCCTCCAAGAGTCAAAAAACAGTAAAAAGTAGACATAGGAGTCAGATAGGGATAGGGATATCAGTTATTGTTGTTGATAAATTAAATTCAAATATATGGCATGGCACATGACAAGATTGTACAGCCTGTTTGCCAGTGGCACAATAGAGGTGCTCTCCTCTCATGAGCTTACCTGAATCTGGGCAACTAGAATAAAATGTAAAATCAGTGTCCTATAGGCAAGCAAATGGGCAGCACACAAAGAGAACCCAGAGAGATCTTCACACAAGAGGGCCAGAGTCCAACCTCTCACATCAGGTTCATGCCTCCCATGGGGTGAGTAGAGGTGCTACTTCCAAAGAGTGACCTAGTCCATTTTCTGAGCCAAAGAGGCATACTGAATAAAGGAGAGGATGATTCCCAAACAAGTCTTTGCATTCACAAATAGGTGCGGAGTGCTATTGCCCCTGTCAGCTGCAGGATGAGCTGGCTTGTATAGGTGCAGATACTTCTTCCATGGTGACTACCTGTCCATACACAAGGTCCTGTGACCAAACTTGTTTGTCCCTGGCCTTGTGCATTTTTTTGTCTGAGGAGCTGATAGTCCAAATGTCAGCCTGGGAACTACTCACATCCTTCCCACCACACCACTGCCTCTCCTTGGAATTTCACACTCTACAAGGGCTGGTGTTACTTGATGATAGACACCTGGATGTGGAGGGAAAGGTCAGCATTATGGGTTTGCTTTTCTCTCCCTGAAGTCCCTGTCCTCCAAGCTCCGCTACCCTGGGTGTGAGCTGAGAGGAGTAAACTGCTGGCCAGAGAAGATGAGCATTGCTGCTGACAGGCCCCTTAATCCCACTCCCGAGTGGGAGGGTTTAGAGTTACATGTTTATATTCCTTTTTCTCCTGATTTCCTTTTTATCCTTAAGACAAGGCCTAGAGAGTCCCCACTTTAACTGTTACCCTTAAGATCATCTTCTTGTCTTTTCTTTCTGGGTAGAAGCAATTCTCTGATCTTGAAAAAGTTACCTGGAAGATCATTCAATCTCTTGTTCCAACCTAGAACAATTAAAACATACAGAACCTCTTTTATAATCTCCCTGCCTTAGCTGTGTGTTCCTACTTCTCCTTTACCTTCTAGAAGTTAGTTGTTACCACCCCATACAAACATGGCCCCTAGGTCCTTTTGCTTCTATGTGTGGTTGTTGAGGATAAGCCAGGTCATAGAAGCGCATTTACAGTATTTGGAAGATAAATTTGTGCTAATTATCTGAACCCTCTCCATTTTCTTGTTCTACATATATATGTTTTTTATTTTTAGAGGAAGAGAGTTGGGGAGGGGCAGAAAGAGGCAGGGCAGAGGACCCAAAGAGGGCTCTGTGCTGAGAGCAGACAGCCCAATGCAGGGCTCAAACTCACAAACCATGAGATCATGACCCAAGCAGCAGTAGGACTTAGCTGACTGAACCACCCAGGCACCCCTCCATTTTTTTGTTCTAATAATACCTTTATTCTTTTTAAGTAATTCCATAACCATTATCTCATTTGGGCTTTTGAAGGATCTCATGAATGAGGCAAATTATCATTCTGTCTTCCCATTCTATATCTGGGGATAGAGGCACAAAATGGTGTTCATTAGCTCAAGGCTTAGAAGAGAGTTAGGGGCAGAAGTGGAATCAGACACCACACCTGACCCCCAGGCAACACACCTTGTCTGTCTGTCTGCACAGGCTTTGTAAGACTAGGACTCTTGTATGGCTGACAAGATGCTGCCCCACAAAAAGCCACCCCCATTAGCTCTAGTTGAATGCCCCGCTTTGGCACAGCTTCTTGAGAACACCCATCCTCTGAGTAAGTTGAAAGATTTATTTATTGTGGGGGAAAACAAAAAAAAGTCGGTGACAGATAACAACACTTATGGTGGTGAGCATTGCATAATATATAGAAATGTCAAATCACTATGTTGTATACCTGAAGCTAATATAACATTGTGGGTCAACTCTACTTAAATAATAATAATTAAGAAAGAATCACAGAAGACTTGGGTGACATTTTGGTGGCAAAAGCCAGAGTTTAAGCACAGAGGAAACTGATGGGAAATGAAGCAGTTTAATGATACAGTTTAACTCTGTGCAACTTGTTTGGAGGGTTATAACAGCTCAGAAGGACTAAAGGAAAGAGAAAACACTCATTTTGTTCTTGTAGAAGGCCAGTGAAAGAACTTCTTTGCTATCTGTTAAAGTCACGGGGAGCGGGGGGCGGGGGGTAGTTTTTGGATGGACGAGAAACAGTGCTTCCTCATTTACATATTTGTCCAAGTTATGTTAATGAGAAGAGTAAATTACAGACATACATCCATACAGAGCTTGCAACACTGTGAAGGTTTGTCTTTAATTAAGACCCATATTTTTGCCCCTCTATCCTTCATTAAAATGAAAGCATTACTAAAAAGAAGAAAAAAACAATAGACAACTAAAACCTCCCACTCAGGAAGCCTCTATAATTTTGGAAAACTCATATGCCAAATTATTCCACTTTAATGAAAAGAGAAAAAATGCAAAAGAATGCATGTGTATAGATGACCTGAGTGCATCCACCCATCTCCCAAAGCAGCACATTTCCAAAGGGCAGAGATAGCCTCACGCCATGCCTCTTTTCTTTAGTTTCCTCACAATGCATCATTCTCTTAGGAGATGTGCCCAAGTTTTCTGTCTCCCACATTGTTTTCAAACCTGGTCACCACTGCATGCATTTCTAAATGACAAGGCAACTGGGTCTAAACTTTGATATGTTGAGAGAAAACCCAAACTGACAGGTGGAGGAGGCAGAAAGAGGAAGGCACTGCCCATTCCTCCCTCATCCCAAATGTCATCCCTTCCTTGCCCAGGCTAAGTAGGCAATCCTGATGAAGAAGCGAGCAGACACTTGAAAGTTTTTGACAGGTGTCATGGGCGCAGGCACTGAGGCCCAGGAGTGATGGAGCTTGACGTGACAGTGGCAGAGCAATCGAGGCTGGCTCCAGGACATGCAGAGTTTGGTGTGTGTCAATTCCAATTCTTGTCATAACCCAACTCAAGAATGGTAACTACAAATGGACAGAGCCAGTGGGAAGTGTTCAGAAAACTTAAAAACATTCCTTCCTGACCAAATGATGTTGCCAAGCTGCAAAAGTATAGGATCAGCCACCCAAAGTAGGTGCACTCCGGCTAGAGAGGGTTAGGAGGTTCCATGAGCTTTTGCTTGCTCTCTTTCTGTTTTCTGCACTGCCCTCCAAAGAAGGGGTTTCAATCCTCTTGTTCTTTCCTGCATTTCCGTGTGTGATTTTTGTGCTGCCATAATTTTCCCCCACCAATAACTTCTGATGACTCTAATTCCTTTAATATAATGATCTTTGCAGCAGATCCTGCAGAATCTAAATATTTGGCAAACCTGCTCTTATGACCCGGCTGCAGAGTGATTTATAATGGGAGAGGAGAGCTAGCTTCTCCATAACACTGTGCAAATAGTTTCATAAATATTCCTCTGTTGCATTATTTTGAAATATTACTTCTTTTAACAGTCTGCCAAAGCCAAATATTTCTGCTAAATAAAAATCCATGGCTAGTCCCCTCACCCAGCCAAAGTAACAGGTGGTAACCAAGCTCACCTGGTGAGAGAGCCCGGCTTGATTAACTCCAGCCCAGAAGTGATGGTTAACTGGCATTAAGGCATGATGGATGGCAGCAGATGTGTGTATAATCTTTAGCCTGGCTTTCCAGCCTGCTAACAGAGAATGTATTTATTTAATGGTTCTTAACTCAATACATTGGCTGTCATTAAACATTTTTAAATAACATAAGGACTTTATAAGTACGTTCATTTTTTAAAAATCCAACAAATAATTATCTGATAAAAAGTCAGTGGCACATATAGACTCTGAATCTGGTTTCCACTGAAAATCCCTTGGAGCCTCAGGCACAGTGATAAATCAACTGTGGTGTGACTGCCTCTACAAATGCCAACAGGCAATGCTGAAGTGGAAAGAGAATTCTAGTGTCACAGTGACACAGTAGAGCCTGAAATTTGAGAATAGCAGGGGCTCTGGGTAGATGTTTTAATTGCAACCTGCACTGTGGAGTGCCAAGGTAAGTTTGGGCCACGTGTGCCGGTACATCTCAGCTTCAGCCACTTTCTGCTCTGGCTTTGTGCTTGCTGACTGGAGATGACCCTTATAGCAGAATATCTCCTTCTGGGGGGCCTGCTTGAAAGCAGTGATGGTCATTCAGCTTGTGTCATGACCCACAGGCCTTTCTTGTGTACATATCACTTCTGGAATCTCATCGTCTTCCATGATTTCAGCTCACATCTCTACAATGTTTACTCCTAGGTATGCCTTTCTACCTGGTTCTGTCTTCCAGCCTCTTACCTAGCATCTCCGTACTGACGATAACCCCTGATGTGCATACATCCGAGGTTGAAGGAACCTGCTTGCACCTACCAGTTATGTTCTCTGCTGGTTCTCTGCTCTGCTGGTGGTTCTGCTATTCTGCCATAGGCCCAGACTCTAAATCTCAGTGAAACTTTAAATTGTCCTCTTCCTTTGCTCCCTGTAGTCAAGCAGTCATCCAGACCTGTCAGTTTTCTTACATAAAACTCCCTCCATCTGCCCTGCATTTTGATTTTTGAAATGTTATTATAGATTATTTTTAATTATGTATTTTCATCATGAAATATGGCAAAACATAAAGAAAAGCACAACCTGGGACACCTGAGTGGCTCAGTCGGTTAAGTGTCTGACTCAATCTCAGCTCAGGTTATGATCTCAAGGTTTCTGAGTTTGAGCCCCACATCAGGCTCTGAGCTTACAGCATGGAGCCTGCTTGGAATTCTCTCTCCCTCTCTCTGCCCCTACCCCAATCGTGCTCTCTCTTCTTAAAATAAATAAACTTTTTTTTAAAAGAAAAACACAACCAAAACAAATTAAAAGTAATATTCAAAATTATACTGACCATAAATAGCTCATAAAACTAGATAACATTCTTCTAGACTGCTCTTAATACACATATATGCATGAATGGATACCCATGTTATTTTACCCATGTTATTTAATAAAATGTTAAACATAATTGTATTTGATTTTAAGAGGACAAAAGAAAAATAATTAAAAATAAGGGAATTGCTTAACTTCAGCTGCTTCTTAATCACAAGAGATATAAATGCCTAAATTATCTAAGGCTAAAAAAAAATATGAACTTCCAACTTCAAGAGATTGTCAAAGTACTATACTTCCTAAAATTCCCCTTCCATTTTAATCAGTAGTAATCAAAATCACACTGTGGAAGTGGTCGCCCTTTTATACTTCCTTTCAAGATTCCTACCCCCACCTCCCAAATTTACTTGCTAAGAGTTATAACATTTATGTTCTGTAATCAAATGTACAGAATATAGTCCTCTTAGTTCTTTATTTGGATTAATTTATTGCTCATGAGCAATCTTTTCTCTGGAGCTTCTACATTTCTGAGTGTCTTGGTTTTGATTCCTCCTGCTTGGTTAGATTTGATTGTGGAGTACTTTTCTCAAGCAAGAACTTTCATGCTGCATTCTCTGAGTTCTTTGTGTGCCAAATCACACTCATCTCATTCCATCAACAAGATTTAGCCATGGTAGTACTGGCTTCTGACATTGAATACCCCAAGCTCCTTTTACAAGTTACCTTTCTTTTTCGTTAGGCTGAATTTAATCATTGGGTGATTATATTCCCATTCCCCACTGCCACCAAAGAAGGGAAGGGAAGGGGAAAGGGAAAGGGAAATGGGAAGGAGAAGGGGAAGAAAGAAAGGAACAAGGAAAGGAAAAGGACTAAAGCACCTAAAAGGTGCTGGCTATATGCTGAATTTCTGTCACATGTAAAAATGTCTTCACTTTACTCCTCTACTTAAATGTTTTTTAGAATTTTCCACTCATTATTTTCTCAATATGCTGTTAATTTTAGTTTCTATTTTATATTTGAAAAATGATGTTTATGGGATTCTTTTTATATTATCGTATCATTACTAGTGTTATTACGTTGTAAGCATAATACGTTTTTTGGTACTTTTAAACTTTTCGAAATTTATTGGGGACTTCCACATGGTCTAATATATGGGCAAGATTTGCAAATAGTCTATACCTTGGAAAGAAGATATATTCTTTACTTTCAGCATTTGAAGCTCAAAATATATCAATTAGTATAACTTTTTAATTATGTTATTTGTGTCTTCTCTTTCGTTATAATGACAGATAAGTTAAAATCTTAGACTAGCATACTTTTGCTTATAGATATAACTATCAATGTGATTTCTGAATGTGAATGTTCTATTATTGAATGCATAGAATCACAACAGTTATGTATTCATTCTATATTATACTCTTTAGCCTGGTAAGGTAACATCATTTAGAATTATTTAAGGATTTGGGGCTGACTTCAATATGATATATTATTAAGTTTACTAATTCACTCTTTTTTTGTATTTCATTTTCTTTGTTTATATTTGTGTTTCTCCCCCCACATCTTCTGAGTCACTATGTTTTAGGTATGTCTCCTATACAGAACATAGAGTTGTCTTGCTTTTATTTTCCCCTCTCAATATTTATATACAAACATTTTATGATGAAAATTAACGTTTAGCAAAGCTGAAAGACTTTTAGATAAATTTCCACAGGTTTTGTTTTTTTAATCCAACCTGAAATTCTTCATGTGTGTTTCTGTGATGGTCAGCTCTGTCAACTTGTCTAGGCTTTAGTACCGACTTATTTCATCATACCCTAGTCTAGGTTGCTATCAAGGTATTTAGCAGATGTGATTGACATCTATAGTCAATTGACTTTAAGTCAAGGATTATCTATCCTTAATTTTATGGCTGGGCCTGATCCAATCCGTTCAAAGTTCTTAAAATCAAGAAACCTGAGGAAAATCTCAGTGTACCTTTGCACTGCAGCATTCGCTCTTGCCTGCAAGTCTCAAGCCTGCCTTTACTGATGGCCCATACTACAGATTTTTAATTTGCCTAGCCAACCCCACCATCTCATAAGCTAATTATCTGCCATAAATCTCTTCATATATATAATCACTGGTTGTATTTCTCTGTTGAAACCCTGACTATCTGATAAAGTGTCCTAAAATGGGTAATAAATACATTAGCTTATTTTTCTTTCTTTCTCCTCCTCCTCTTCTACTATATTATTTTATTCTATTTCTTTTTTCTTTTTTCTTTTTTTTTTTTTTTTGAGGGAGAGAGTGAGAGAGAGAAAGAGAGCAGGGGAGGGGCGGAGAGAGAGGGAGAGAGAGAATTCCAAGCAGCCTTCACATTGTCAACACAGAGCCTGTTGTGGAGCTTGAACTCACAAACCATGAGTTCATGACCTGAGCTGAAACCAAGAGCCAGTCATTTAACTGACTGAGCCATCAAGGTGCCCCTATTTTATTCTATTCCTATCCTTCCTAGTCTTATTAAAGTTTAGTGTGTGTGTGTGTGTGTGTGTGTGTGTGTGTGTGTGTGTGTATGTGTTGAACTGTTGCATCTGCTGATGTCTGGAAACAATGATTAGAGAGTTATGAGCAATAATCCTTCAAAGATAGTGCACATGGACAAAGCGAGCCAAGAAAATATGGAGTAGCTGCATGGTGTGTACACTCCTATACTTCTCTGTGGCTTGCTACATTCAGCCCTTGTTTCCCGGTGGTTTGAAATATTTACATGTTCATAAATATCATACATGAATCAATGATTTCCTCAGTATACTAGCAATTTCAAATTCATCTCTACCGATTTCAAATGATATATGGCCTAATACATGTAATAGAAATATGCATTGTAGAGAATAGACGATACTTGATTTGTGAACCTTAAATGGTATCCTTTGATTTCTAGCTGTTAAAGATGAGGAAATCAGCATCTTTTTCTCCTTCATTGCTCAATGTTTATTTGTATAATTCTGTACTACTAGAGTGTGTGTTAGTTTATTCTGTACTGTTGTTGTAATTGCCAATCTTATTTATTTACTTTCAGTTCTAATTTTACAGTTTAATCCTTGTTATAGACTCAATACTTAGTATCAACACCACTATTAGACTCAATCCAAAGAATCCAAAATACACTGCTCTGGCCCTTTCCTCTGACTGTACCTGCCATGGACTGAATGTTTGTGTCTCCCCCAAATTCATATGCCAAAACTCTAACCTCACAATGACATGGAATTTGGAGGTTAGATCTTTAGGAGGTAATTAGGTTTATATGAGGCCATGAGGGTGGGGCCACCATGGTGGGATTTGTGTCTTTATGAGAGGGAGAGAGACCAGAAATCTCTTTCTCTCTATTATGTGAGAACACAAGGCAGCCATCTACAAGCCAGGAAGAGAGTTCTCACCAAGAACTGAATCTGCCAGCACCTTTTCAAAAAATTTTTTTGAATGTTTATTTTTGAGAGACAGAGCATGAGCATGAGTGGGGGAGGGGCAGAGAGAGAGGGAGGCACAGAATCCAAAGCAGGGTATAGGCTCTGAGCAGTCAACACAGAGCCAGATGCAGGGCTCAAACTCACAAACCTTGAGATCATGACCTGTGCTGAAGTCGGATGCTTAACCAACTGAGCCACCCAGGAGCCCCTGAACTGGCCAGCATCTTAATCCTGGACTTTTCAGCATCTAGAACTATGAGAAATAAATGTTTTTTGTTTAGCCATTTACTGTATAGTATTTTGTTGTAGCATCTTGAGCTAAGACTTGCCCCTCCCCATTGGATGAAGAATCTGTAAGAGCCAATAGGAGATACCCACCCCAAGCTCACATTCTCCCATCTACACCATGTTCTCATTATAAAATACCTTAGAGTTGTCTGCCCAAACCACTCTAAATTCAATTTTATGACTTGAAAGCAGCCAATATAAAGATGCATTACCTTTAAAAGGAACAATAGTAGGACAGA